GCTGCTGTTTTGGCCGGACCAGTGCACCATGGCTTGGTTGTGAGCGGAATCCCCTGTCAGAGCAAATGTAGAGCTGGTGAGTTTGAGCTCCTCCTGTCGGGACGCGGCCGTTCTCCGTTCGTCCCTGTTCCAGCGGAGCTCCGACCGGGGGACTCTGCGCGCAGCCCGCGCCGTCACGTTGCCAAAACCCAGCGGCTGAAAGCGCGCACCTTGGGGTGAGCCGGGTTCCTGGGTGCCTCTACGCACTCGGTGATGGGGATCTCCTGGGGCTGAGGCTCGCAAAGCTGCCCGCTTGAGATGATAAACTTTGTCATGACTGCGCATTGACTTCCATTTCTCATCGGGCGGCGTTTTCCCGGAGCGGAGGCTCTCTGTATTCCTTTTACGCACGGAGTGAGCGTGTTCGCCGCTGTCGCTCGCGCCGCAGTCGGGCTGACCAGTTTCAGCACCAGCCAAATTAAACAGCGACCCGTCTCCATCTTGGTCACTAACTTTACCAGAATCGACACCGCTATCCATCTTGACCAGTAATTCCCGACCGCTCCACTTATCCAGCAGGTGACATGACCTGCAAGTTATCACTGTTTCGGCCACTGGAACCCACGCGAACAAAATCAAAAGCAGGGTGCAAAAAGCCCTCACATGAACCCGGCAATATCTGATCTCCCTCTCCATCGCAGCACAACACAGTGTCCTTTTTCCTCTATTTAGCGACCGTTATTGACGGGAAGAAGTCCTCGTGTAAGTTGCGGCAGCCACAGTTGAGATGTTGTGGGAAAAGTGCGATTCGGCGACGCGCTCCAACTTGAAGGATTTGATCAAATGAAGCTCTCCACGCACCGAGGGGAGGAGCTCGGGGGATTACAGAGGAGAGCAAGACCATAAAGACACGATTCTTTCCAGTGCCACAACATTTGTGAGCTCAACCAGACGCTCTCCAACGACGCATCCTGCGATTAAATAAAATGCGAATGCAACATCTGAGGGCTTTTGTTCGTCGCGCTGCCTCTCGGTGACGGAACTTTGAGACGAGCGAAAAAGAAAAAGAAAAACACAAATTCACACAAAAAGCTTGAGTTACCTATTATTTTTAATGAGGAAAATTTCAGTAGTAATACCCTGAATAAAAATATTGTTTATCTAGCCGTGTGAGTTCCCTCAGCAGTTTTCTCATGAGTTGTCAAACATCTTAAACACATTTTAATGCTTTACTTGTTAAGTGCAAATGTGACATAGTGTAATGAATAGTCTAGGCCAATTTAAATGTTTTGGGTTTTTAAGATTTCTGTTCGACACAGTTTTCAAAGAAAATCGTTCGGTTTGAAACCCGTTTTTTTCACAAGCTTCTCTTTCTGGGCGTCCATTTGACGTTTTAAAGGTACCCAGCAAACATGACAGTGTGGGCCCACTGTGGGTAAGTGTGGGTTTACTGTGGGACAGTGTGGGCAAGACAATCCCACAGAAAAACACATGTGGGCCCCATGTGGGGTAGCCCATGCAGGCCCTTAAAATATTTTCCCCTTTGGGACCCACATGGGTTTTTCTGTGGGCAAGCCCACAGTGGGTTTGCCCACAGAAAAACCCATGTGGGCCCCAATGGGTCAGCCCATGTGGGGCCCAATGGATTTTGCCCTTTGGGGCCCCAATGTTGGTTTTCTGTGGGCAATCCCACAGTGGGCTTGCCCACAGAAAAACACATGTGGGCCCCATATGGGTCAGCCTATTTGGGACCCTATGGATTTTACCCTTTGGGGCCCAATGTGGGTTTTCTGTGGGCAATCCCACAGTGGGCTTGCCCACAGAAAAACACATGTGGGCCCCATTTAGGTCAGCCCAAGCGGGGCCCAATGGATTTTCCCTTTGTGGCCCCAACTTGTATTTCGTGGGTAAATTTAAGTTAAATTTTATATTTAGCTTGTATATAAAAATTACAATAAATCATTTTCATTTTGGTCAAAATAGTGTGAAGGACAAAAACTGCCTTGCTGCTGAGAGAAAATCATCTAGAAATTATAGTTTTATATATAATCTTGATCACATATGATCACAGTGTGGACCCTCTGTGGGTAAGTGTGGGTTTACTGTGGGACAGTGTGGGCAGGACAATCCACCAGAAAAACACATGTGGCTCCCATGTGGGGTAGCCAATTGAGCCACCCAAAATGTTTATTGTCCACTTTTTTAGACAATTTTGACACCAAAAGTGTTTAAAAAAAGTGTCCTTAAGTGAAAAAAAAATAAATAAAAATCATAACTGGAGCAATTATTTTCTTGGGGAAAGTGTGACACCCTGAATGGTTAGTCACACGTTTATATGTATGTTTTTTTCTTATAAGTATTTATAATAAAATCTGCTTCTCTTTGTTAATTTTCTTCATGATTCATCTAAAGCTGTATTTAAATATCATGAGTGGAGAGTGGGTGGGACCGGGATGGTTTGTTTACAGGGTTGCTATGGTAACGGTGAACCGCAAGAGTGTCATTACTAGAGCGCCTTGATTTTGAACAACAACGCAGCCGTCTCATCTTTTAGGTGGGTAAATCCTATCACAAAATCGATGAAATGTTAAGATAACATGTTACTCAAGTGTGTTTACAAGTTTAGTGAGGTAACGTGCAGTTAAAGAGTTAATTAGTGGTGAAGATTGTATCTGTTTGCTGACATTGTATGAAAACGGCAGTTAGCGGCCGGTTGTGTTATATGATAACTGCAAAGTTAACTTAAGGGCTCCACCACGCTGAAATCCTCTGTAAACGTTATGTTTTTGTATTCAAGTTGTTAAAAACGATAATAATATCACTTTTGATTGTATAAATACACTTGGTTTAAGACGAGGGTTACAACGACTGTAACAGATTTGTTTACGTTTGGATTACACAGAGCTGTCCCAGAGATGCAGAACAGATGTACGATACTGTGCTGACACCCCACTAGCCTAGCAACTGCTAGAAGGGCTCTGACCAGATAAAAAGGTCATTAGGGGCATGCTGATCTGCAAAGCATTTAAAGGTAGAGTATGTAATGTTTCTATATTATAACCCTCTGTAAGTTAAAAAGGAAATCTGAAGAAAAAATTACTAGTCATGTACAGTAAGAACAGTAGAAACAGTTAAGTAAGTAACATTTATTTGTCCACAAATTTTTAAAGACTGAAACACTTTTCATTATCCTGGAATCTTTTTACAACCCCAGGGGCTTTGTAACAACTACAAATAATAATATAATTTTTTAACTTTATTTATAATGTTGGTCAATTTGTCTAATTTTAAAGCCTGCCAAGCACATCTTTTTAACAGTTTTTACAGTTTAACAGAGTATTAAAAATTTAGAAACAGAAACAACCCTTAAAAGAAAATCTAATCTCAGATTCAATAGATGTGATATATGTTATGTATTAACTACTAGTATAATTGTAAGTGTACTACTTGAAAATTACACAATGACATTTTTCATTTGTACGGCAAGTGAACTCCTGAGTAGTATACTTTTATAATACTTGTTGTAAATACTTAGTTTATGTACTCTATTCTTTGCTCAGAACTTGACTATTGCACTTAACCATTACAACTGCACACACAGTAATAGATACACACACACACACACACACACACACACACACACACACACACACTTCCTTGAGGTACAAAGTGAGTACACTTTCACCGAACCACTATAGTTTTATTCTGCTGTATACTGAATATACTCTATTCCTTCCTAATTGTAGTTTAAAATGAATATATTAATAGTATACTTGAGAATAAAATTTTTTTTGTAAGAGTACATGGACCCTTTTCACAAAAAGGTTATGATGTGTTTAATGGTGATCAGCATCTTAAATCTTTAGTTCTTTGTACACTTCTAAAGCTATACTTTGTAATGTCAACTGTGCGTCAAAATACAAAAAAAAAAAAAGATTGCTTATGTCAGGTGTTTCTAATGCAGTGCCTATGGGCAGGACAGTACATTTGATGTTGTTCTCTCCTCTGGTTGCCATTATCAGTCTCACACAATTATTATTATTATTTTTTTTTTTGTGCTTTTTCTGAAAGTATTGATAACACCATCACTGAGTTTTCCTTTGGTTATTGGAGCAAAATAAAATGCAAACATTTTGTTGTATTCTGCCATAAGTATGATTACTTCTGCTACTAAACAACCCAGAATTGTGAAAAGGGTCCATAGAACGTAAATAACACATTGATTTTAACATTTGTATTTCAATTGTTTTATTTCCCAGACGCTGTAACAAAAATCAGCAAAGGAACAGCTTCCCAAATAGAAGCAACAATAAAGTCATGGTTAAGAAAGTCAAGAGACAGAGATGGTGGGCGCCAAGGAAGGGCCAAAACTCAGAAGGGACTTACTTTTAATTAATTTTTTGGAGTTAAAAAATTGCGTTTTCTTTTGTGTGTTTATTCACGTTTGATTTTGTATAAAATATAATTCTGTTTCAATATCATACAGTTGTTCATTTTTTGTTATTAAACTCTGTAAATAAATATTTACTAACATGACCCAGTTTATTGTCAAGTAAAACTGTTCTGAAAATGCATTGTATAATGGTTTTCTGTATGTACAAAGTAGAACCAGACTCAGTGGCTCAGACAGGATCATTGCGAGCCGCCCACTGTGGGCCCAATGGTGTGGGCTGACTGTGGGACCCACACTGTGGGGCACTTGTGGGGCCCCTTTGGGACAGCCCAAAAGTGTGGGCCGACTGTGGGCTATCCCACACTAATCAGAGCGGGTTATCCCACAGTCAGCCCACACTTTTGGGCTGTCTCAGTGGGCCCTGACATGCCCCACACTTCATGCAACTGTGGGCCCAGATACCGGCGTGAAATGTGGGGCACGTGTGGGACCCACACTGTGGGGCCCCTTTGGGACAGCCCAAAAGTGTGGGCTGACTGTGGGATAACCCACTCTGATTAGTGTGGGATAGCCCACAGTCGGCCCACACTTTTGGGCTGTCCCAAAGGGGCCCCACACCTGCCCCACAGTGTGGGTCCCACACGTGCCCCACATTTCACGCCGGTATCTGGGCCCACAGTGTGCTGCCCACATGGGCCCCTTATGGGCCCCAAAGTAGCATGTTTGCTGGGTAGCCTTTTTCACCTTTGGTCAAATTTATTTATGAATTGCACTTCCGGTTTAGCGAACTTCCATTCCTACGAACTCACAGTAATATTTGACAATAATATGAGGTTTTGTAGGTGAACTTAATAATTTTTGATCATGAAAATAAGATTGTGGTATTTTATTTGACGTGTCATTGGTGCGCAGTAAGAGCTGTTTTGTTTACCTTTTCTGTTTTTTGAGATTATCGCTGTGGAAAGATTGGTGAGTTTTGACGTCTGCTTAAAGAAATTTGTCCAAACTTAATTTTTAAGGGTACAATTCTTACTATTAATAAACCACTAATTAGGACTTTTAGCTCAATGTATCACTAATTTGCTGCTTATTAATAGTTACTATCTGCTTGTTAAGTCTTGACATTTCAGTGATGTATTAAATACTGTTTCCGCGTCCAAGTCGCTACTCATTTGAATTGAGAAAATATTTGTTTATGGCCACTTTTTAGTCCTATCACACATTAAAGTGAATTTTATATAAAACCATTGTGTACACAACAGTCTCTGCATCTCAAAAATTTTAACAGTTTATAAAAAGTTAATCACTTTCTGACCATCGGATTTAGGCATGGATATATATTGTGATCATGATTTTCTAAAGTATTACAGTGTTTTCTAAACCTTTATTATTACCATTTGATGAGTCTCCCCATAAAGTTTGACATACATGCAATGTGGCTTCCGTGTCCAATCGCTATGTCACAATTAACAAGCGGATAGTAAGGTAGACATTGGGTTTAAGTTTTTAGTAAAGGCTTAGCTAAGGGGGGTTCAAGTGGTTCGGAAGATCCAGAATTTGTCCCACACATGAGCTCATTTGTCCTATTTTTAATGGTATTCTATTAAATCATGAAAATAACCCATCAGAAAAGGCTTTAAGACAAAGAAGAATCCTCTGTTGGCTGTCGCTTCAGTATGACTTCGGCTAATCAGTTTTGGCCATTGCTAACAAATATTTTCATTTCACAATCTGACGTAAGAGATGTAATCTTTCGCTACTGCATTGTTTTTAAACGGAGAAAACATTTTACAGGTAACTTTTATTCTAAATGTTTCATAAATCTTTAGGAAATATTTTTGATACATCAGAAGGTGTGGTTATGATGACCATCCGACAATCTAATGTAGCTAAAATATTGCTTAAAATGTCACTATAATGCAGCATTCAAATCTCATATTCAATAGAAAATGAGGCGTATAACTGCAAAAAGGTCCACTTTTTGAAAAAAAAAAGAACCACCCCTTTTACCAGGCTGGCTACGGGCCTGGGGTAAGATTAGGGATGTAACATCAGATTAACAGTCAATATCTTAAAAATAGGCAGGTAATAAGCCAGTACTTAAAAGTAGAAATTCTGTACTTAAACTAAAGTGTTAGCATTTGCTAATTCTAATGAACCCTATTCTTCACATATGAGCTGGCGCAGCTATTTGAGTTTTATTGGCTCAAGACCTTGTTCACTTCCATTGATTTATAGACGCTAAAAACAGCTGATTATGATGCTTGATGTTGCAAACATATATTTTCATATGACATTATTCTACTTTTAATATGTAGTCATGAACATATTTGTTTGTATCAAGTAGTTTGACCGTTTTCTGACCCTCATTTTTCCCAGTCAACTAAATCAGAAGTTCTAAAACAATTGCAAAAATGATCACTTTCCCATTGAAGAATACGGTTAATAAGCTTACTTTGTAATTTTGATGGGTGAACTGTGAGGATAGCAATGACATCTTTTTCTAAACACTTCACTGATTGCTCCATCCACTACGTAAAGTACACAAAGCATCATGGGAGTTTTGATGACAACTGAAATCATTCGACAAAGTGACATGAAACTGTTATGCACTCAATGCCTGCCTGGAACTACTTTACAGTACCTGTGCATTTCCCTCAAACTAACCTGACACCTTAACATATTCATCAGCCAATCAGATTCAAGCATCCATCAGCCCTGCAGTAGAAAAAGCATTGATCTCACAGCCTAAACGCCCCATATTTAGAAACGGATATTCAGGTATCCTCAGAATTTCAATTCAAGATTAATTTGATGTTTTCGCACGTCTCGAGACAATTCACATTCTCCACAGCATCCTCTGGATCGATGAGTGAATTGCAAATGGATTTGATGCGCATCAATCAGGTTTTTGTGTCTAGAGTTGTGCTACATTCAGTGGCCGATTTAGGGATTTTAGGGCCCTAAGCTATTGCAGACAAAGGGCCCAAAAGTCCTAATGCATCGTTTGTCCTTTATATTTTTGTTTACTGTTTTTTTTTTTTTTTCTTATATCACTCAATCTCCTTTTCTGCATCTTATCTTAACGGGAAATAATTATAACATGTAAAGCACCTTGTAACATCTTGTAAAACTTTAAATGATTTGTTTTCTTAAAAATTCCTTCAAAACTAAAACTGATGAACTGTTTCCGTTTTAAAACTTAATCTCAATCATTAAGGGTGGGAAAACATTTGCGCAGATGTATTATGCTAAACTTAAAAAAATAATAATAAATTAGACCCTCATCATACAAAACAATGATAGAAAACAACATTTGATACTGTATAGGTATAATTTATACTTTTAAGCATTTATTTGGGGGCCCTCAGATTTCCTGGGGCTGCTTACCTGGCTTATTGGTTAAATCTGCCCCTGGCTACAATTCCAAGGCAATAAATGCAAAGACTCAACTGCAAGGAAGACCTTGCAGTACTACTCAAACAACACACTTGTTGGTATTGGTGATTTATAGGAACTCCTCACAGGCATAGTGTATTTTTACCATAAAAAACACTAATTAACCCAATCATCAAAGGAAATCTATGGCAAAATTTGATTGTTAATAAACTCTATTAAGTTTAATTTGAAGCACTTTGAATTACAGGGACATCAGTTAATACTCACATACTGGGTTATTTAAACCCAAATTGGGTAAACTATGGAGTAACCTAAACATCGGGTTACATTTAGTCCTATTAATTTAATTTAAAAAAATAAATAAATCCAGGAATTGCGTTAGTCCCTATTACACCCAGAAATGGGTAAAAATAACCCAGCATTTTTAGAGTGTAGAGTTTAACTAGGTCTTACTCACATCATTACACCCAAAAAAAAAAAAAACATAATCAATGAGTTTTATCATCAACTTTGTAACCTTTTGAATTTAATTTGTCTTTTTTATTATTATTATTTATGATGTCAGGTTCCTTAGAATCAATTTAAATCTGGTAAAGTTGAATCAGTCAAAATATTTCTAGATCAATGTGTCTTCACTTCTATGAGATTGGTTTCCTTAATATTTGGGGGCACAATCGACGCAGTGCAATACACAATATTATTGTTAAATGAATAAGAAGCATTTAAAGCTCATTGGATTTATTGATATTACTACATAAATCCTGCTTTCATTTGTTTCATTTATGTTTAACTAACAAATACCAATCACAAAAAGTTTATTAGTTTAATTATTTTAAATGTATGTAATCCAAATGGATGGAAATGTTATAAGCAATCAAAATAAATAAATCTAAAATACATTCATTTATTCATTTTCCTTCAGCTTAGCCTCTATTTCAGAGGTCAACACAGCGGATTGAACCGCCAACTACTCCTACTACTTTTACGCAGCCGATGCCCTTCCAGCTGCAACCCAGTATTGGAAAACACCCAAACACACTCGTTTACTCATACACCCATACACTACGAACAATTTAGCTTACCCAATTCGCCTATAGCACATGTCTTTGGACTGTGGGGGAAACCGGAGCACACGGAGGCATCCCAAGCGAACACTGGGAGAACATACACACAGAAATGGCAACTGACCCAGCCGGCACTCGAACCAGCAACTTTTTTTTTTGCTGTGAGGCGACCACTGAGCCATCACCCCTAAATCTTATTTGTTAAACCTAAATAATTTTTGAGTGCTTGCAAAAAATGTCCTTTTAAACCTCAAAAACCAGTACACACACACACACACACACACACACACACACACACACACACACACACACACACACACACACACACATACACACACACACAATCTGTAAAACAAAAAAAGACAGATTCTATATAAAAATTCTATTTGAGGAAACACCACACCCCATACTGGTAAATACCGCATAAAACTGCTGAAAGCAGTCCATACTAGATCAGCAGTAGATGCCATACTTTTATGCCTTCGGGCACAGACAGAGACTCTCAGTCTCAGCATCCCTCCTGACTTCACATTTCTTCTGCTTGGAGAGTGAGAGAGAGAGTTACATATATATCCTACCATTCAAACCATATAGTAACAATGCTGTAAAAGAACAACAAAAAGGCACAGATTAAAGGAAAAGTTTGGCCGAAAAATGAAAATTTACTTTCAAGTGATGAGTTACCTTTTTCTGCTGAACACAAAGTAAGTTCTTTTAA